GCAAAAAACACATGTTCTGGGCCATTATGGCTGAAGCAACTGAGGACTGCAGTATTGGTGGGAACACATTAGAGCTCTGGGCTGAGTTTTGTAAGCATGATGAGAATCACATGATGGTGAGGGGATGGGTCCAAATTCACGGACTTACTCAGAAGGTAGACAATGGTATGCCTGTGAAGGAAGCACCTCTATCTCAACAGCCAAACAGAGCTGGAGATGTGTGTTTATGAATTCCACATTGCAAAAGGGTTCCCATTCTTTAATACTGGCTCGGTCATGCACCTTGAACCTGAAGCTAGAGTTCCTTTGCCCTACTTAAATCCTCTAGCATTCTTCCAAGACAGGAGACCTGAAGCATTCTTGAGTAGAGAATTATTAGATGACTAAAGAGATTAATGAGTTTGAAAAATCCATCAATGTGATTCAACAACATTTTAGATATTTCTCAGTACCATCATGGAATGTTATTCATAATACCAGTTTTTGCTTATTGTCAGTTCTTTACGCTTGTCATATTATTCACGTTGGTACACTCTTGTGAGATTTGGGTTCAGCCCTAATGAGTCTTCTTGGTTAGCTAAATTTAATTGTCAATAAAGTACACTCTTTTTTACTCTCAAAGTACATGCTAATGTGATCCAAACTTGCCATTATAAAGTGGTTCTCACTGAGATACATATTTTAGGATTATTGAGTTATAAAACTGTTCTCATAGGAATATTGCAGCTAAATATATTAGACTTATGCTTATGCTGTTTAAACATGTAAAGGCAAAGTTACATATCATAGAATTTCTTATTGCCATTAAATACCTCAAAAAATGTTTCCTAACATTATAATATAAAGAGATGTCTCTTAGGTAGAAGAACAAATACATCAAATTTGCAGCTGTGATAAACACATTTTCTCTTCAATAAATTTTAAATAAAACATAAAAAAACAAAAAGATTTAAAGAAAAGTTTTTGAGGTTTAGGGATTCAAATAGTGTATTGATGACAATTACAGAAGTTAACAGAGACATTTTGTTGCTTGGCAGTACCACTTTATACAATATGCTGAAAATGTAGTGGAAACATCTCAATATTTTTACAGTTGTCATACTGTGATGGCCTTGAGAATGCGAGTCATAGACTCTAAATACAAGGACCATAATTAACCGGGTATCCAGACACTACAGTCTGAAATCAATTGCTATCTTTGCAGCAAGACCAGGCTGTCCACGGGCAGCTCCCAGTCAATAACTGAGTGCAGTGAAACACAAAGGCAGAGTTGTCCCTGGCAGATGAGGGACTTCTTGATGCTTGGCTCAAGGCTCCCCAGTAGCCTTGCCAAGCCTTCCTTAGACATTGAGGCAGTCTGAAATGCTTCCACCCAATCTTCCCTCTTCCCTATTTAGCTCCTTATTCTTTCTCACAGGTGTTTCCTCTAATAGAATCCTTTCATATTTAACCTAATTTCCTTTTGATGTCTGCTTCTCTGAAGACTAACAAACATAATCAATGAAATAGTTTTTATGTTTGGGTGTCTACATGGCTTAAATCCATTTCTCTCATTTTTATAGTATCTTCTAATCTTAAAGTAACATATGTTCATTAGAAGAAATAAAAATTATGTATGCCCCATTTTTTTCTGATTTTGAAAATTCAATAATAGTGGGAAAATATATGTGCCACACGTGAGATATCAGACAAGCTCTGACAGACTTTCTTCAGCAAGCTAGGTGATGACTTCTAAGGTCCCATTTAACTTTTTTATTCCATGCTTATAATCATTTTTTTTGCTTTTTGAATTGGTGATAACAGCAGGTAGAGATTTGTGGTAAAATGTTCCCTTCTTTTTTATTCAGGGTCTGGTTTCGCCAAGCAGAAGCACCCCTGAGCTAGCTGAAATAAAGGAGTTTTATTCTAAGTTTGCAGTGGGCAATCTTATGAGCATCCAAGGGCAGAAACCAAAAGTGTGGTCAGACTGCGTTGGTTTAGAAATGGAAAGTAAGAAACTGAGGTTATTTATCTAAGTCTTTATGTCTCTTAAAAGAAGCCTGGAAAGAGAAAAACATCTATTGGCACTTCTGCTAAACTCTAATTCTTTGGTTTCCCTAGCTGATAAGGAATATTATTAACTTTGATTCATTAAAAAAAAATTGAGAAGGTTGCATAGGTTTTCTCCACAAGTCAAGGAATCTATCATCGATCTATGTATCTACATAGCTACCCACCTACCTACCTTCCTACCTACCATGCCCAGCTTGAGATACTTAGTCATTCATTTCCCAGCTGCCCGGAGGTTGAAAGTGTTGAGAATGTTGTCAGCTGATGGCTCACAGAGGAAGAGGCACTTCGCCCAAGATGACATTCAGTTCCCAGCTAAAATTTATAAAACTATGGGCAGGAGGAAACAAAGGGTTGGAAAGTCAGCACTTTTATACATCTGTAATCCAAGCATTTTAGAGGATAACTGACAATATGATCAAGAACTTTCCTTGCTTGGCATGCTCCACAGCCTAGCAATGCTACTTAAATGAAAATCCCAAAGAACTAATTAAGGATGTGCACAAACACTAGCCATCAAGATATTTATTCAGTTATTCAGTATGTTCAGTTAAGAAACAACCTAAATCCCTAATAACCTAAGAATTTGTTGAATAATGCATACCGTGGAGTACAACACAGCCGTTATAAATGAAGCAGCACTGGCTTTACCGACATGAGAACTAATCTCAGTAAAGGGCTGAGTGAAGAAAGCAGGTTATGAAATAGCATATATAATAGGTTCCTAGTTTTATTTTTTTCAAATCATTATATAAATGCATAGGAAACAATTGGAAAATTACATACCAAAATACTAACAGTGATTACCTCTGCGTGGTGGCAAGTGTGATTAGGTAGGATTTTAATTCCATTATTTTATCTTTTCTATTTTATGCATTTATTAAATGCATTATAGAAAATATGTTTACCATATTATTAAAAGATCAAGAAAACTATTTAAAAATAAATGCCTCCAGTTGACCTCAGTCAGAAAATGTATTGATAAACATATTGCAAATTAAGGGGTTTTTTTTGATTAAAGTAACTCAGCTCTCAAATAATTCCCATTTCAGAGACAGAAACTCAGCTTTCCTCTCCATATATTTATGTTTACCTCCTCTCCCATGTATTTAGATGGAGAAATATTTAAGCGAGAAGAATAAATTTTTGGCTCTCACACAAGGGCCACTTCCATTTTGTTATATTATGTTCAGTGTGGGCTGATGTTCATTTTCAACTTTTTCACAATAAGTAATGAAATGGTGGCCTGGTTAATCTTTTACTGATTAATCAAACTGATAAATGTGCCTGATAAAGTTTTTGTGTAATAAGCAGTCTATGATTTCAGTTACGTCTTCAAAGAAAGCAGTGTTTAAATTTGTAAAGTCATCTCCTAATTCTTATTGTTTTGCACTTAAAAAATAGGTTTTACTAAGCATTTTTTCTCCTTTTCCATGGAGAGTTCCATTCCTAACTTCGCTCCTCCAAAGAATTCCTACTATGCTAAGGAGGTACACTAGGCTACCAGTGCCTTTTAATGGCCTTTCATAGGTTTCTTTAGTCTGGCTTCCTTAAGAATCAAAGAGGTTTGGCTTTTATACAGCAGAAACACACACTGAGGATTTTATTGACACCCATATGTGGGTTGATCTAATGGATTCCTTTAACTGCTGCCCTGGGGTAGCAATGCAAGCAAAGTTACACTTTTAGGAGGAGATGGGTGCCTGTGTCAACAATCTCATTAGTCCTATTATTCTTCCACTCTCCCCGCATCACTTCTGTGTCTCGTTGGCTATAGAGATGAAATTAAATTATTTGTTTATTTACCTTGTACGAATGCAAAATGTATCTTACTCCCTCTCTGAGAAGCAGGAACAATGGTACGGCTAAAGGAGATTTAACTTTTAAGCTTTCAGATTGTTCCTCTGCATTCCTGAATAGTGGATGGACAAGTGACTATAGTTGCCTTTTTCAGGTGTAGAGTTGGTATGTGGCAGCAGTGCAATAGCAGGCTGAGAAACAGGTGCTTTGGATCTTGACCCTCCTACCTCAGGCCCACAGCCCCCTTGTAAAGCATCAGCAACCAGCAGAGAGGTTTGGCCTCAGGATAACTAGGAAGTCCTGGAAAGAGAGACAAGCATCACAGCTACAGGTGTTATTAATTAACACCACAAATACTTGGTGTTAATTAATTGGTACTTAAGTCATAACAAGAGAAAGAAACTCTGTTTCAGCTGCTACTTAAAGGGTACTGATGAGAAGCATTGTGAATGTAAAATCAGAGCATCTCCACCATGGCATGGTAGCCAGAAAACAAGGATCCAGACATTGTCTGCCTGCCTTTCCTTTTTATTTATTATTATTATTGTATAATTTTTTAGAGTTTCTAGCTAAAAACAGAGCAGAAAGACTTCTTTTAAAAAACTTATTACAATTTTCTATAATCTACTTCGCTAGATTGTTCAAAAGTCTCCTTACACCACAAAAATTTTTATGCAAACAGTAAACACATCTTTTAAACATTCATTCTTTTGCTTTCCTCCTTAAAATCTTTATATTTTCAATAACATTTTAAAAATCTCAGATTCTAATAACGGAAGTCAAACAGAAATAAAACATACTGTAAAAAAATTAGGTGTTTTGTTTGTAATATGGCATTCATATTACAATGCGCATATTAGATCAAATTGTAAGAACGAAAACATATTTCCCCACACAAAGCTCTCATAAAGTATGCGCACAGGCTACTCTGAACACGATAAACTTTTTAAACCGGTTTTCATATACCTTCTATACCAAAGGGCATACCTACCACGATGGCTTTTAGTGGCTTAGAAAGAAAAACATGAAGCATATCACTAAGAAAAATGCAAGATTTGTCTATGAAGAATACTGTCGTTCTTAAGACAAGGGGTGTGTGGCCTCCCACAGGCTGTCTGGGCAATGCCCGGCCTCATCCTGAAAGGAAGTCTCCGTTTTGGAAAGCAGTTAGCTCACACTCTTTTCGGGTTTGTTTTCTTTTGGACACTCCTAGCTTTAATATTCTTCTTGGGGCTGGCTGGTTTGGGAGCAGGTGGCTTTCCCTTCGGTTTCAGAGGATTACTACGACTCGTGCGCCCAGCTGTTCGCTTCTTATCCTGGATTGTCCTCTGCTGTTCCCGTAGCCTCTCTTCCCACTGCTGGGAGGCAATTTGTAAACATGACTGTCAAGTACATCTCACTCCTTTATGCTATTAAACTAATAACAGAATTAATGAATTGTTTTCACTATAACATACAAATCATGACAATGATTATAATAACTAACCTGTGTTGAACACTTATCATGTACTCAACTTTGGAATTAGATACTTTGGAAAGTGCTGAATATATGATAAAGTCTTGACATGTACTCATTTCATTGAAACTCACAACAGCCCTTCTATGTGGACACCATAGTTATGACCATGAAACAAACACACTGAGGTTATTTGCAGAGTGTCACACAGCTGGTAAATGTCAGAGCTAGAATTCAAATCCATCAGTCTGACTCCAGAGCCCAAAGCCCTAACCCATGAATTTTTTTCCCATTGGTCCTGTAATGTAACATTCCTACATAGCAAAGCCTTCTAAAAAGGGTTGACATTGCTAAAAGTAGAAATTTATCCTGACTCACCGAAAATCAGAGGCCTCTTACTACATTTATAAATTCACTTAATTCTCTTACATCCAATGAAAACAGAAGCCTAGCCTGCATGAATCCACTCAAGTGTTAGCTACCCAGGACTGCTGGGAAATGCGTCGTTCTGGACAGTTAAGTTTCCTTGATAGAAAAAGATCTACTATTTATAATATAAATAAATATTATTTATTTAAACAGTTGCATATAAGGAAAAAGTAAGTCCACTTGAATAGACATGCTTTTTATTATAACACACAAGTCGCTCCTTTGTTAGAGTATATTTCAATCAGCAAAGAGTTTGAGCATGACCATTGGCCAGGCATTGTTCTAGGTATGAGAAATACAATGAAATAAAATGAAATACAATGAAATAACTCCTAGGGTGTTCTAAAACAATAAACACATCACTATACGTTGCTATTATATAGTGATATTTTCAAATTCTTACTGAAGTATATTATAATATTTCCTGCAATACTGAATGGTCCAAACAGCTGTGATTCTTGAAAGCTTTCTTTCCCTTCAGGTCCTTATTGTAAACTTCTACATTAATGCTTCTAATCTACTGTAGTCTTGGAAACCTGATAACTAATTCTGCCAGAATTTTTTGTCTAGTAAGACTAAGAGTGTTCCTGAGCAGCTTGTGAGTTTTTAGCTCAGATGTAACAGTAGCGTTTGGTTCCTTTATTCAGAAATGCACTGAGTAGAAGAGGCTGTGTTGAAACTACAATTTCCATAAGTCATTATTAATATATACTCTCCCCTAACCAAGAATTTTTATTTATACAAATGAAGAAATTATAGCAGTAGCAGTACCTTTGTGGAACTGAAAACATAGATTTTCTTGACTATATCTCAACATATTTTCAAGAGAGGGAATGCTTTAAAAATTTCAAGCCAACGACCATATTTCTTTAGTTCTGGTATGACTTCACATCTCTGGGCAAAAGATTATTCTAACACCTCTCATTGCATTACCAATATTCCTATGATGTTACCACTAAAATCATGGATAATACAAAATAATTACTTTTTTATATAATTTATTTTGACAAAACTCTTAAAATTATTTTAAATACAGGGAAAGACTCTGCTTTGTACAGTGATAGGATGAGGTTTAGAATGAGTTATACACACCCCTACATGTATATGTCTGTTTTAATCCCTCTGGGTGTTAATTCTGCTCCAGTACCTGACTGTTTACTAAAACAATTAAATGTAATACAATAAAGAAACCAAAAAACTAATTTAATCTGGAAATAATCAGTAGATCAGCATTGAATGCAATCAAATTGCCTTTAAAGTTGGAGAGGTTTACAATAAAAATTCCAAGTGAGAATAGCTATCTTTGTAACTGCCTATTCAAAAGACAAATAGTGCAGCTATTGATGGCTCCCATGATAGCTTGGAGATGAAAGAATGGGAAAAATACCCAAATTCTACAGAATTTCTTTATGTGAACTTATATCCATATTCCTACTATTGCTAATTATACTTACTATAGATCTTTTACTAAGTTGATCTCTCCATTTTTCAACTAAACAATTTTCAAGAAGCATCATCCTGAAAAAAGTAATATACTTTAATAAACAACTTCTGATTATGAAAGTAAAGTTTAAAAATATAAAAAATTTTTTGAAATTCTTCAATAACCCTTAACCCCACAATCTACCATTTATTTTTTGTTGATATATCCTTTCATTCCTCTTTGCACTTATATATATTTTAGATCACACTGTATATTTAGATCGTATTGCACATTTTATTTTATTATTGTATTATATGTTTTTTCTGATACAATTAGATTTAAAAACATAACTTTAATAACCAAATTCGATTACAACTATGGCTATCTATAATATATATTCATATTATAGATATCCATAATAACTACCCTTGAACCTCCTTCTTTTGCTTAGCTATCATTACCAGTGTTGCATTGAATAGTCCTTATATATAGTGTGTACTGGCTTATTATTTCATTAGGATAGATTTCTGAAATAACTGGGTCAAAGAGAAATTTTTTAAAAGGTTTTCAATGCATAGTGCTAAATTGTTTTCAAAATGATTGAATTTGCATTCAATTCACTAAAATTAAGACTAAGTAAAAATTGAATCTTGTTTTTATTTGGATTGAGGAATTAAGGAGACAATTTTTTTAAATGTTTTACCTACTCGTATTTCTTCTTTAGGATCTTGTCTGTATAGATTTATGTACACATATTTCTATGTTGCAGTCTTAATATTTTAAATATTAACTCTTCAGAGAGTAAGGTTACTGTTTCTTTGTCATACCTGTTATGAGTATTTTTCTCAACTTTTGAATTCTATTTTTATTTGTGATTTTTATGTACATGCTAGTATGTGGTCAAATATGTGTACTGATGTTTTCCTTTATAATTTCTTACATACTTTTATGTTTACAAAGTATTCTGCCATTCTGATATCACACATTTATTTACCTAATTTTATCCTCTTTCATTAAGTTTTTGAAATATTTATCTCTTACCCATTTGCAATTTATTTTGTAATACAGTATAAAATAAAAATATGTTCTATTTTTTCAAATAAAAATATTTGCAACTTTCATTAATTATTTTCATTTCCCATTGACTTGGCATATTTCTTACATAAGTTCTTTTATGCATTAGAATCTGTTTCAAGACTTGCACCACATGGTTTTAATAAGTGTAACATTATACCTATTTTGCGTGTCTCATAAGGCAGATTTCCTCTCATCCCTCTTACTTTCAAAATCTTCTTTACATATCCTTACTAGTTTATTCTTCCAAATGGATTTATGAAAACATAAATCCCGATCATCCATAAAATTTTTAATTCTGGGATTTTGATCGAATTACATAAAATTTACAAGCTAACTTGGGAAAGATGACATGAAAGCTATTGTTTAACTCATTTATAATCCATTCATCTGTCTAAATAGAATTTGTTGACTAGCAACCTGCTACATCCTCAGAACAGTACCTAGTACTGTAGCAGATACAAGCACCATGCAAAAGATGAGCCCAGAAATATTCGTTTAACATTCATTCATTCAGCTTCTTTAGAGAGACAAAATATAAATAGAACAGCTCTAAAACCAAGAACATAAGGTGGTATATGCATATGAGGAGGATACTCAAGTACTGATAGAAAATAGAACAAGAAAGTTTTCAAGTGAGGTCAATTTCAATAGATTTTTTTTTGAGAAATAATTTTGAGCTGTGTCTAGAAGAAACAAACAGATAAGTATTAATGGCAGAGAATCAAAGAGAAATGTTATGTAAGTAATTTTGCTGGAGAAGTGTATTGCAGCAAATTATGGGGCTCATCCTGGAACCTGTGCTGAAGTGTTTGATTTTTATATTATAAGGAAAGTACCAATATATAAAAAAATGCTAAGGAAATAAATGTGGGGAGACACACACTCATAGCTAGAGATAGGCATATATATGTGTGAGCATACATGCACATGTGTGTGTAATACTCTAACAAACAAATATATAAATTAAGTGCATATAAGGAAAATATGTGGACCTGTAGTCTCAAATGGCCATCTTTACTGGATATGTAAGTTATTAAAGAGATAGCTTTAATAATTCAGTATTTGCCACACTAAGATAGATTTGAATAATTTGGAAAGAACTGATTTTACTCAAGTAATTTATCTGCCTATAAGTTTTTGAAATCGCTTAATTCTGAAATTGATTTTTAAAGATTTTATTCAAATACTCATATTTCTGTTTTTCCTTAATTTTATGAAGAATTAATTGATATTTAGGATATATGATGTCCCAACAAAGGCATCCATTAAAACTACTTTTAAGAAAAGCTGGTGCCATTTTTTAAAAAATCATGACTGCTAAATGGAATTCATGTTTTTGAAACTGTGTGCAGTTTCTTCTGCCCCTCCATGCCTACCGTGAGCGCCACTCGTAACACATGATGAGAACGTCTTGATGGGGCAATATGTGAGGACACTGGCAGGAGGAATTCGTAATGAGTGGGACTTGAGTTCGAGGGATGGGTGATGAGGACTTGAAGATCTCTTTCACATCCACCACTGTCGTTACTTCATTACAACCACTCCTCTGCACAGCTTTTATTTTGGCATGAATGACTGCAATTTAAAAATTGATATAAGTGTTGTTGAAGCCTTTGGAGAAAAATAGGGATTGTGTATTCATGCCAATCCCTGAGTATCTCTCAAGGAATCACTCCTGTAATTATGGTCATGTCCAAGCTGTCCAAATGCAGGCAGAAAGCCCACACAATTGTATACTAAATGTAAGGCCGCCCATATTGTCAACATTGTCTTAAAAGTTCTGAATCACACTGCAAGAAGTATAAGTACATTAACAAGCAGGCTTAGTCTGGGTTCTGCCTTTGGGTCAGTGACTGCTCCTCATTGGGCTATAGATAGAGTTAGAGAATTCCAAAGATCTTTCTCAGCCCTAAAATTCTGTAATTCTAAAATTAGCTTTCCCCCTTCCCCCTCCAAAAAATATCAGGAAATTTAGTTACACAGAATGTCACTAAAAATTTCTTAGAAACAAATATTCGTTTATTCTCTGCCTTGTGATGATTTGAAGTGAGAATCATACATTCTCGATTCAGAAGCCACCTTAAAGTTCGTATGATTCAATCACCCATGTGAGGCTTAAACTACCTCTGTTCTAGAGGAAGTTATGAAAGCAATAACATTTTAGATCGAAAGGAATCTCTGAAAATCACTATTCTCGATCTTCTAATTTCCCGAACTGTAAAAGTGTGGTCTGGAATGAGTAGAGGTAGAACTGTTATTACAGATGGCTGTTAATGTCACTGTATCTGATCATACCTTAAATTCTGGCCCTTTTGGTCTCTTGCTATTACTGCCTGCCATGGTGTTGTAATCAGCCTAGTATGGATCTCTCTTGGATTCTATCCTAGGAAGCTGGTTTATGAAGGAGCCAAAGGATTTAAATAGAAATGGTTTCATCATCAAAGTACTTATGAGGCCATGATACCCCAGAGAACAGCGTGAGCATAAAATTCAGATAAGTAACTAAGGCTTAATAGTGTCAGGTGATGGACTAAGCAGATTAGATTAAGACAATATATCTCCATAGAATGGTTTTAAACAACAAAAAACTACTAGAAAAGAAAGTGTATTTTTTTTGGTTGAATTACCCACATTGGCTACGTATGATTCTCAAATCTAAAAAAAAAGGTTATTTTTTAGATTTTTATATTGCCATGATCTTCTTACTTTCATGTGTGTATATAATATAAAAGTTTTTATGATATAAAATTTCAATTTGAAATGTGGAAAACTAAGTTAGCAAACAAAATGAACATTTTCCCCAGTTTTTATTTCAGAAGAAATAATTTAAGAAATGCAAAGAAACATAAAATAGCCCAAATAGATATCTTAAAAGAACATTTAATTAAATTTACTTTCAAGTGATGGTAGCATAATTAAATTTACTTAAAACATTCAAAAATTTTTGTTTTTGAAGAAAGTTTGTTCTTTCCACATAGGAGCAAAGAGGGCATTTAAGTTACATTAATACTTGTAGCCATAGAGTCTTGTGATTAACATATTCCCACAATTTCTTTAAGATGTTAAATATTCATAGCTATTGATGAGTAAAAAGATACATGGTCAGGTCTTAATTCCTGGGCCTCTGGGCCTCAGATAATTAAATCCATGGATCACTCACTCATCCTTTCCACAGCAATGAAATCTTAGTAAGAGAACAGGTGAGGTGTGCTGTCCTGGCTGAGCAGCACCTCTCATCAAGACAAGGAGGATCATGATGTCAAACTTGCAATCTGAGCCACATCACAGTTCTCACATAGGTAATTTACTTTGTGTTTATTTGATATACCCAGAAAACCAAGAAGTTTTATATTTGTTATTGTGCCATCTGAAACCCACATAGTTAACTAGAAAGATCACCAACCCACTTGTTTACTTTATGACCCACAGCCTTGGCTTTGTGATGTGCCAAGTCTGAAAATGAATGGTCTCATCAGATGACTTACCATAACTGTAGTTTTTGCTCAGATACGTTGCCAGAGTTGGCTTCACCTTTTTGCACTTGCACCGGTCTAAAGAACATAAGAGAAAGACAGAAAGCTGGAAAAGGGTTCACAAATCACTCTGAGGAGAAGGAAACAGAGCCTTGAGGACAAGGAACTCACCGGGGCTTAGGCGTTTACAGTCAATGTCAAGAGGCCTTTCCTGTACCATCATGTCTGGCGTGATGTCTAACCACTTAGCATCTGAAACACATGCCGGGCCACAGAGGTATGGTCAATGATTTGGTTTATTCACCTAGCTGGAATAAGGAACCATCTGGAGACTTAAACTAACACAGCATCACACAAAAATAATACTAAATAGTAAAAATGGCACATGATTTTTGACTTTCTTTCATATAGAAATCCTTAGGCTTAGGAAAGAAAGACTTTTAGGTAAGGATGCCTATCCAGCACAAATTGATGTTAACCTACCTGATACATACAGCCAACCTGGACAAATTATGTGATTCCTTCTCAAATCCATTGTAAAATGTTATTTTTCCAAGCTGACAGTTTACACTAATCAAAATAATCAGAATATTTCTAAATCTCCACCTCACACTTTGCAGTGCAAAACAGTCCACAGCCACATAATTCAAAGCAAGCATAACCCTATATCATTTATATAATTTAAGCAAGAAATAGGTTTTTCAAAAATTCTGAGTTAAGAGCTTCAATCTTTCTCTTCACTTTATTTCTCTTTCTTCGCGTTTTGGGCAATGCTCTGAGGTATAACTTAAGAAACTATACTAAAGCAATACCATTATCTTTTTAAATGTGCAGCAATATGGGTCAGGGATAAAAGAATGCAAAAATATTCTTAGGTTTCATTTCAACAAGTGGATTTAAACCCGTTCTTTCATCCTAGGAAAACAGCAAAATGACAAAAGAGAAAAGAAGAAAGTGGAAGAGGAGATCCAGTTAACTAAGATTCCACAGATGCTGGCCCCTGGTCAAAGACCAAGAACCACATCACAATTTTGCAGGGGGACTAAATTTTACAAGCTGCGCTCTTGGTAAGGAGTGACAACTGAAACTGCTTTTTACAGAAAGATTTTTCAAGAGCTAACACTAAATTAAGAATCTCGGTGCGATTGTTTTGAGTATTAAATGATATATGTAAAGTCTTTTATGCTGGCTCACACCCACTATAAGCCCTAAACACCTGTTTACTACTGCTGCGATTACTATTCTGTCATTGTAAATGTAAATGTCTCCAGTGGCTCCCTTTGTAAGAAATCCCCGCCCCCCGCCCCCGCCACCTTGGGACTTAGCGTTCTTCAATTCCTGAAATTCCTGTAGAGAAACCAGACTTTTCCAGAAGTCAAGTCACCAGCCCTTCCCAATTCCTCTAACACTCGCAATTGGGATTGGGGTGTGGGGGGTGGGGGAGGTGACTGATCACCCCCTGGCAGCTGTAGGTGTGGCTGCCGGGTTCTCACGTGGCGGAGACAGCGAAGGATGCCTCCTTAACCCTCTCAGTCCTTCCCCTGGCCTCACCCTCTGGGAGGTCAGTGACGATGGCCTCAGGAGAGATGCACACGCCGCGGTCATAGACAGGCAGGTCGTCGCAGGCCAGGCTCTCAGGCCAGCTGTGATTGTACATCTTCATGAGGGGCTCGCAGTCGTCACGCGCACGCTGGCATACGGACTTGCACGGCTTGATGGGGTCGTGCAGGAACTCCAAGGTGCAGATGGGCGCGTACATGGCACAGAGGAAGAAGCGCAGCACGGCGCTGCAGTTCACATCCACCAGCTCCTCGTACTGCTCTATTGCCAGGATGGCGTTCTCTTGTGTGCTGTGGTGCAGGTGGTTGGGCATCCGCGTGATGTTCCAGGGCATATGCTTGCACATGGGAATGCGCACCGCCTCACACGGCGCGCCGCGTACGCCCAGCGCCAGACGCAGCCACAGGCACAACGCGGCCAGGATGGAGAGTAGCATGGCGCTACCCTGCGCTGCGACCCCGACAAGCAAAAAGGGCCCTTCTCTATCCGCCCTCCTAGTCTTTCGCTCTCCCCTCTCCGAGGAGGAAGTCTTTTAGGGGACAGAGCTCCCCAAACTTTTGTCGGCAGCGATGCGGAGCCGCTGGGGCTGGCCGGGGATATCAGGAATCTGGCGCACAGAGCATGAGCTGCTCCAGCTCTCAGTCTCCGGGGCGCGAACCCGCCCTTACAGCTCCAGTCCCGGACCAGGCAGTTCCAAACGCAGCCAGCCACGGCCATTGCGGGAGCCTATTTATCCCGACACCTCCCCTGACGTGAGCTCGGAACGTTCCCTTGGCAGCTGCTGGCGCGGCGCGGGCTCCCCCTCGGCCGCTCCACCCCCAGGCTTCTCTTTGCTGAAGCGGTGACATCATCTCCTCCGGGCCGCAGCCCAGGGCTGGAACCCTGCATTCCCCTAAAGTCCCTCCTTTTTAGTCTGGCCAGTGCTTTCTCTTTGGACCAAGAAAAAGAGCCTCTGGCAGTCGTTTTGGACACCGGATCCAAGAGGGCGCAAGAGAGGATTTCAAGAGAGGAAAAGACACTCGAGTCAAAGCTGAACTTTGCGCCTTTTGCCTTACAGGTTTCGCAAGAATAGAGTTCGAGGGAAATCGGAATGTCTGCTGCCGTTAAGTCAGAAACATACTTGCTTTCTCCAGTAGGGGGCATGAGAAGCGCTGAGCAGTGACATGTGGGACGGAGAGAGTGTAGGAGTAGTCGTTGGAAGAGGATGGACACGTTATGTAAACAAACCACCCTCACACCTCCCCAACGTTGTATGAAATTTGTTTTTTGTTATCGTTGTGACTAGTAGACATTAGTTTGGGCTCAATTTTTTCCAGAATGGCATTTGGTCTGTACCTGCTCCAAAACAGAACTGCCTGAAGGTTCAGTAGCATATTCTAGTTTGAGAAATGTCCTCCATCTACCAAATCGCCCCTGTTCTTCTTCTGTCTCCCTATTCCTCTCTCTGACATGAATGAAACCCATAAGAAAACAAAGAAAACTTGGGACACACCAAAGTCTGAAAGACTTTTGCCCTCTCCATAACAAGTGATTTCCAACCCAGCAGCCTAAAATTTTGACTTTTGATGTGCTTGGAAACTGTTATTTCAATTGAGTAAGAAGCTGTGTGGCATGGAAAGCAAGTATGTATGTTTTCCTTTCTTTCTCTTATTTTTTATTAGGAAGAGGTAGTAAAAACAACTGCTGGCTCAGCGATCCACAGAAAAGGGCGGCTTTATTGTTGTAAGGGTACCTCAATCTTCAGGCAGTAAGACTGCTGGTGTATGATATATTCTTTAGGCATTAGAACATGCAAACGTGCTCTCTGAATGTTAATCTTTAAAAACACAGTTTTAGTCTTTAAAAACTTAAGGAAGACAGGTTTTATTCTCTCTGTAAAGGTTAGATCCACCAAGTTAGTTTACTTTCGACCTTAGTTAGGACTGAGGATTAAAATAGCCCAAGGAACGAAAAACACGACTGACATTTATGGATCATTTACAATGGGCTAGACATGGTGCCAAGCACTTTAAATATATTTTATTATTTGGGGGGAGGCATGAATTAAGCATGGTAAATTAAAAGGATTAATGAGACAAATACTCGTCAGGATTTACCACAGGAGTCTGGTTCTATTTAGAGGAAGCCCAGGGTGCCCAGATACAGCCAGGCCAATTCAGAGAGGCATTCCGGCTTTCTGTAGGACAGATGTCAAATTTCAAAAGTGTCAAACCAGGCTAGCTAGATAACAAGCAAAGAGGATAGCCCAAAGAGATCTTAAGGCATTTCCAGCAGGAAAATCTTATGAGAGTAAACACTTGGCTTCATGAAAAAGATTTTCAGCCTGAGCTCCTACGAGGTAAGAAAATACAGTTTTGAGAAAGAGCTGAACTGCGTGCCCTTTTCTTGTGAATTGGTCGAGGAGAGAAAACTTGGAGAAAGCTCATGTGTCTGCAGCCAATTCGAACCTGCTGCATTTGTTTATGCAACTACCAAGTCATATTTCAGGTGCTTCCCTGATGTTCTCGATGGCATCTTTTAAGAAAGGGTGAAAAGAGCCTTTCTCTGTAAAGCTCTTTGCTTACCCCATTAGGTCCTTTGATAGCCTGTCCCTAATGTTTCCGGGACAGTGCAATAGCAAAGGATTCATCAGAATATTCTGTTAACCCACTTACCTCTATATGTTCTACTTTGGCACTCAATCCATTACCCCATACTTGACATTGACTTACCAAAAGCTCCTGTAACTGAGGAAGTTGCCCTGGTCAGTGGCTTCTCTCTGGTGATTTATTTTCAATCTCAAGTGCCTGCTTCTCTACCCATCCTTTAAATCAGAGGTCCCCAGCCTTTTTGGCACCAGGGACCCGGTGCTCCTAAGAGAATCTAATGCCTGATGATCTGAGGTGGAGCTGAGGCAGTGATGCTAACGCTGGGGAGTGGCTGCAAATATAGATGAAGCTTTGTTCACTGGCTTGCCGCTCACCTCCTGCTGTGCAGCCTGGTTCCTAACAGGCCACAGACCGGTACTAGTCCAAGACCTGGGGTTGGGGACTCCTGCTTTAAATATCTGGAGTTCTTTGGGGCTCCATCTTCAGCCCTCTTCTTGCTCTCTTCATTCCCTGCTACTTCAGGTTTTCCCAGCTTCAGCATTATTGACACTGAGGCTGGATGATTCTTGATTGGAAGGAAGAGGAGGCTGTCCTGTGCATTTTGGTAGTAGCACCCCTGGCCTCCTCCCACTAAATGCCACTGGCAGCTTACCTGCCACCCTGTTGTGATAATCAAAAATGTCTCCAGATATTGCCAGTTGTCCTCTGGGGTAGGGCAAAGTCATCCTGGGTGGAGAACTACAGTTTTACTATTTGGCTTCAATATCCACCTAGATGCCAAATGTCTCCCACATCCAGACCCTTAGCCTTGCTAGTCTCTGGAAGTACTTATCCAATTATCCCCAGAGTGTTTCCACCTGCGTATCGCACAGTCATCTCAAAGTCAACCAATCACAAACAGAATTTATCTTCTCTAGCTCAGGACTGAATCCCCAGAAACCTCCCTGAGTCTAAATCCTTTTTTTGTAGTTCCCAACTCTATTCCACCTTCTTCATTCCCACTATCACCTCCTTAGCTCCAGCAGTCTGTGTCACCTGTCTGGTTTATGACAGCATCTTCCTCCTTCTTCTCCCAGCTTTCTGCCTTGCCCGATCTATTCTCCACATTGATGCCTGAGTGAGCTCCTTAAGGTATTTACCTGGTGATGCCCCTCCCTAGCTTTGAATTTATCCATGGTTCCAACTACCCTCGGTATTAATACCAAATCCTTAAAATGGCTTTCAGAGCCTTGAGTGACAGAGTACCCTCTGTCTCACACTTGAACCCCAACATTACATTCATTTTCCATGTCTTTCATCCAGGAATGTTCTCTCCCTCTTTCACCTGGCTCATTCATCCTCATCCTTAAAATGCAGATCAAATAAAAAGAAACTATAAACTTGGAAAGCAAGGGTCTTTTTTTTTTAAGTTGCTTCTTTTTTTTTTTGATTCCATATCATAGATCCTAACATTACATAGACATAAATTGTACACCCAATTAATTTTGTCCTTGAAAATACTAAACTCCCAGACCCACAACATCTAGGCTTGTGGTATTGTCAGATGATGGGTGAGGGGAGCAGTCTCACTGCAAGTATGGCATGGAGAAAATGTCTCTGAATCCTCAGCGGAAGGTCAAGGGCTTATCCCTAGTCCCCTCGGCTCTAGACTGGGAAATGGCTATGATGAGTGATTGGTGTTATTTCTTCAGGAAGGGGCCCTTCTTTCCATTTTTAATTTGGAGGAAGAGGCGGCAGTTTTAGCGAAAGGGGCAAGTTATGTGGAACATAGCAAGTGCAACAGCACTGCTTTCCTAAGTTTGATTTTGTTCCCCAGTGTGTGGTTACCTGATGAACACTGAAGTTCGGGAAGAAACATATCCTTTTTCATCACCACCTCTTCCCCTTTTTAAAACGTGGATGCCCTTCAGGATGCTAATGGCACTACTGCCACTGCATTTCCTGTTGGCAGCAGAGAGCAAGTGAAAACAAGCTGCAGTGGGCACTGGCCAAGGCAGAAATAACTCCTGCGTGGCTCACCCAAGCTTTCCCAGGCCCCTGGTCTCAGCTCCTGGCCTGGCGCGTCCTGATCTCAACAGTTGTAAAGGCCGTGGTGGGGACAGGCAGCAACTTCGCCGAGACCACACTCAGGCACTGTGCAGGAGACCACGCGCCGCCGCCCGCGCCTCGGCCGCACTGCGCCCAGGCTGCTCAGCGCCCCCTTAGGCTCCGGCTGGCCCTCGGCGGGTAGCAGGAGCAACGGATGGTGATGCCAGGGCGCGCTCCTCTCCGGGGGGCCCTAAGGGCCCTATGCGCCTGGCTGCTGGGTGGCTTCTGGGTCTGGGCGCTGGGCGGCCTCTACGGCCCAGGGGCGGCGGCGCTGCGAGCCGGGGCTTGGGGCAATCCAGGGGCGCCGCGCCCCTGCCAGGCGCCGCAGCAGTGGGAGGGGCGCCAGGTACTATACCGGCAGAGCAGCGGGCGCAACAGCCGGGCGCTGCTCTCTTACGACGGGCTCAACCAGCGCGTCCGGGTGCTGGACGAGAGGAAGGCGCTCATTCCCTGTAAGAGGTACGTGGGGCGCCGGGTGGGCGGCCGAGGTGGCCGGGTGTGGGGAGGCCTCCGGGGCTGTGCCCAGGTGTTCGATTACCAGCTGGTCGCAGGGCCTCCATCCTATCAAAGAGAAACTTTGCAAGGAGGATCTCTCGGGGGATATACAGCAAAGTCGGGCGTTTGCGGAGGGCTCGCCCACCAAGGGCAGCCTAATGGCGGGCACTCAGTGGGACCTAGCGGGGCGGTGGCTGATAAAGAAGGGATCCGTCATGGGCGGGATTGCACTGTCGGGCGCCCGCGTGCCCAGGCCCGAGGCTCTTGGAGCCCCCTTCTGCCTAAGGCGTGTCTTCTGCAGTATCTTTTCTCTTCTGGGAGCCATCTGGGAGGTATATATTTAAAAACACATATTCTTTAAGAATTAGTCTTTACACTCTAACGGAATAAGACAACACCACAAAAGGCGTGGGGACTCGATCAAAGACAATATTGTCCACAAATTCATCACCCTGTTACAACTATTGAAATTTTGGTCCACTTCCTTAAATTTTTTTAAAGCAAATTTCACATAGTGTGATCAAAAAGCATATATTATCCATATCTTTTAATATAACATAATCTCTCTCTCTCTCTCTCTCTTTTTTTTTTTTTTGCCATTTTATTAATTGGCCCCTTACCTGTTTTTAATGGCTGCACAATATTTTATTGAAGGGCTACGCTATAATTTTTTAAAACCACTGGTCTGTTAATTCACTTTTCCATATCTGTTGTGAAAAAGGACATCCTCTGTTTGAGACCTCTTCTTGCCTTGACCGCTTTAAGACCTGATTTCTATTTTGAGATCACCACCTGTCAATTCCACAGCCTTCCTGTTTCTCTGGTGTGTTCCTCTCAGGGTTATGCTGCTTTTGCATCATTAAGAGATGCCATGTAACTGTCCATGGGTTAAGGCTCCAGGGGGGAGTAAGATCTACAGATACTTTCAAAGTAGTATATTCGAGAGTGCAAGATAATACATTATAAAACATAAAACATGAATGCTGAGGAGTCCAGGAGTGGCTGAGTCATCATGAGGTCTGGGAATATCTGTGAGGCCTTTCAAGAACATGAATACTTTCTGTTAGGTCTCCAGTGACATAGCAATAATAATAACAATCAACATTTAAGCACTTATATACCAGGAATGGTGCTGAGGACTTTCCACATGTTATATGATTTAGTTTAAGTCTCATAAGAACTTAACAGTATAGGATTTATGATCTCTGTTTTACAGAGAATCTGAGGTCTAGGGAGGTGAAACAACTTTCTCCAGATCACACAGCTGGGACTCAAGGAAGTGGGTGGATTCTGACACCTATGATATACCAGTTTCTCATTCGTTTGTTCATTCATTCATTCCACATGCACTTTTTCTGTGTGCATGTCAGGCACTGTGTATAAAGAGTGGATCCTGGGCTTCATGGAGGTCATAGTCTGGGGTTGGAGTCATATAAATAAAAAATTACCATACAGTGAGATGAGGGATGAGCTGGATGTGATAAGAGCACCTCAGATGGGCACCTAACTCAGGCTCCCTGGAGGAGGTGAAACATGAGAAAGTCCCAAAATTCCTATATGAGCTGACCAGAGGAGGTGTGGAGGGAAGAATGGTCCAGGGGGATGAGAGTGTATTCCAGGCTTGGCTTGTGTGTCATCTTGGAGCAGACATGGCTGAGTATATTCCAATCACTATTAGGTCTGAGGCACAGAGTATGATGAGAGATTAGGTGTCCCCTGAAAGATTTTTAAACAGTGGAATGCTATGATTTAATAATATAGAGATCACTAGCTGCATGGTTGAGAGTGAAGGAGAGCAAGAATGGGAGCAATATTGCCTGGTAGACTTTCATAGAGGTCCAGTTGAAAGACAGGTAGTGACAATGGTGATAGTGAGAAGTGGATACATTAGAGAATTATTAAAGAGGTTTACTGAAGGATATGCAAATGATTAGAATGTGTGTGGCCAAAGTGGCGATGGAGAGGGAAGTGTCATTTTTGGCTTCTGAAGCTTACCATATGATTGCATGGAATAGACAGTGACAGTGATGCTGTTCACTGAGATAGGGTTTGACTTTCTGCACTTCTGTTAAGAATTTATTGCTACTCTTTATGTGCACTGATATGAAGGTTGGTACAGTAGTGGTATATTGATGAATAGTCATGCTGAAGATGGACTGGATGGCCTAAAGCACACTATTGAAGCAGAAGATGGCCAGGAGAAGGATAGGGTTCATCCTCCAGAGATAGTATTTTCAGACTTTAAGAGATTAAGCTTTAGAGTCAAACAAATCTTGTTCTGAATCCAGATTCCTAGTGTGGGTCTTTGGGTAAGTTACTAAAGCTTTCTGAGCTTCAGGTTCCTCATTTACAAAATAGGAATACTAATAATGCCTACTTTATTGGATTATTGCAGAGATTAAAGGAATTCAAGTATATAAAGCATATAGTGCAGTGTCTGACACATAGAGGGTGCTTAGCACATGGCCACAGTTATCCCTGTCACCACCGTTACCATCACACCTTGGTGAATTTACCATGGCCCAGAAGCTAGCTGCCAGCCCTTGTGGGCTCAGAAACTTGATCCCTCAGTGCACTCAGGGGCCCTTCTTTTGGGAGCTGAGTCTGAGTAAGCAAGCTCAAATGCTGAACTGTATTTCAATGAGTGCTATAGCCAGCATGGGGGCCAGAATTCAAATCCACAAGAGTAGGTCATTCTCTCCCTAAAGGCAGAACTGTATGGAAGCCAAATTATAATCAGGAGATTGTGAGCGAAGACTTGGAGCAAATTCGTTGAATCTAATGATTTCCTGCTCTAGGCCAGGCCATATGCTCAATATTGAGCTTTCCATCATGAATAACATAGGCCAGCCCAGGGTAATCAGGCTAAGATAAAGTGATAAATTCATTTTCACCATAGAGATGCCTTGTCACTGACTCACTGCTGGCCCAGATTTTCTCCACACTGCACAGAGCCTTGGTGGGGACTACTCAGGTCTGCTTTAGCAACCCTTCTTCTTCTATGACTTCACGATTGATAAATATAGTCTTTAGATATGTGTACTGTATCTGTAGTGGGGTCACAGCCAAATCTTGCTGGCCTAGATTTCTCATTTCTCTGCCCCAATCCATCAAGTGTTGATTTCAGTTTAACTTTTAGAAGACAATTTTATTCCCTTTCTTTCCAATTTCTTGGGAAGATTCTGTCTCACAGTCCCATCTCTAGCCCTAAGTCACATGTAAAAAAGAATGTTTAATGCATAAATGCATTTTACAGCTCTTTGAGTATAGTTTTGTTGAAACAAACTCAACAACTTTTTCAGGTATTAGCAGTCTGGCCAAGAAATCAGATATTATTTGAAGAAAATGTGGATGGGTTTTCTCTCTATTTATTAGTAAGTTGAGAAGTAAGTTTTAGAATTGGATCAACTTTTTAAGATTTTTATTTTGCATCCAGATAGTTATGGAAAATCCCACTGATAGTTATTGTAGAAAGACTAGGATTTTCCAGGCTCTCTTTACTCTGAGATTATGGAAAAGATGAAACAACTGTACAAACTTCAAATAAGACAAACCTTAAGAGAGAATGGGAAATGTTAGTAATTGATACTGTTTTGTTTTCTGCTTCCAACTGTCTTTCCTGATTCCTTGATTAAGCTCACAGGTATTACATGAGGAAGAGCAAGATTATTTTCATAGTCAACTTGTTGAACTTTAGAGAATGTAGATACTCAAGGAATTTTATTAAGTCACCAGTAACTCACTGCTTCCACTTATAAAATGGTGGCTTGGGTGTTGCAATTAATGAAGCTATTCATGTAGAATGAGCAGAGAGGCATTAAGAGAATGTGCATAGGTACGTCAGCAATAATATCTTAAAAGACTATTCAACAACCAAACCTAAACTGAGCAGAGGACCTGAATAGATGTCTCTGCAAAGAAGACATACAGATGGCCAATAGAAAAGATGCTTAGTGTCACTAATCATCAGGGAAATGCAAATTAAGACCACAATGATATATCACCTCACACCTGTCAGAATAGCCATCATTAATAGATCAAAAAATAACAAGTGCTGGGAAGGATATGGAGAGAAAGGATCCCTTGTGCATTGTTGATGAGATTGCAAATTGGTACAGCCACTGTGGAAAATAGTTTGGAGGTTTCTGAAAAAATTTTAAATAGAACTATCATATGACCCACTTTGGGGTATTTATCTGAAGAAATCCAAAACACTAATTCAAAAAGATATATGCATCTCTATGTTCATTGCAATATTATTTACAGTAGCCAAAATATGGAAGCAATCTAAGTGTCCATCAATAGATGATTGGATAAAGAGGATGTAGTACATATATACAATGGAATATAAAAAGAGCAAAAATAATTAAATCTTACGATTTGCAACAAAATGGATGAAACTAGAGGCTACTATGCTAAGTGAAAAAGTCAGTTTTTTAGATTCCACACTTGTATGTGGAATCTAAAAAAACAAAATAAATGAACAAACAAAATAGCAACAAACTCATAAATACAGAGAACAAACTGATGGTCACCAGATGGGAGAGGAGTTGGGGGGAGGGGAGAGGTAAAAAATTAAGAAGCACAAATTGGTAGTTACAAAATAGTCACAGGGATGTGAAGAATAACACAGGGAATATAACCAATAATATTGTAGTATCTATGTATGGTGTCAGGTGGGTACTGGGCTTATTGGGGGGATCACTTCATAAATTACATGAATGTCTAACCACTATGCTGTGTACCTGAAACTAATATAATATTGAATGTCAACTATAATTGAAAATTTAAAAAAAAAATGGAAACAACAACCAATGCTACCTGTTTGGGGATTTTTTTTTTTTTTGTAAAAGATTAAAAGAAAAGTATGCCTTAAATGGATTGGCAAGTGGATTTTTATTCAAATTCTGACCAGTCTATGTCTACCTCAGTTTTCTCAGAGCATTTTATTTCTTGGAGAACAG